TCGGCTTCCTCCGGCGCCATCGAGGCGGCCTCCATGGTCACCGGCGACACTTCGTCTTTGCCGTACCTGCTGAACACTCGCTGCTTCAAGCTTTCTTTGAGTGCGGCTTTGTCTGCCCATGCCTCACACATGGGATGTCCGCTGTCGATCAGGTGCTCCAACAACCTCACGACGATCCACGGGCGCAGCTTTGCACCAGCCACCCGCTCCACGATCTCGGCGTGCCGCATGCCCTTGATTGTCAACCATGGTGTTGAGCACCGGGACTGCGTGCGGCAGCTGATGCAGCACAGCCTCCGCCCCCAAGCGGTGGAGACTGCCGTAGATCTCCTCCCAAGGCATGCTGAAGGAGCTAACATTGCCTCGCACGGCCACGCGGAAGTCGCTGCGATGCAGCTCCTCCTCCATCAGGTGCCCGCGATCTTCCTCTATATAGAAACTCACCACGGACGTCCACACGGGACATGCTGCCGCGGCCTCAATCCACCGCACCTTTTCTTGATATAAGAAATTCGGGGGATACCCGTACCAGTTGTCATTGGCAAGAGCTTGCGGGACTTGCGGGCACGTGCTCTGCCGCAACCGGCTCCAGCATGTCCGGCACAGTGGCAGCTTGCACTCAGCGCACAGTTGCTCTTGCGTGGCTGGACACGCGGCACACACGCGGTCTTCTGGGCAGCACAGAATTCGCTGCCCCTCAAACAGATCGGGCGGCAGCGACAGCTGCCAATCCTGCTCCGGAAGCCGATCTCTCACGGCCGCGTGCTCGCCGTACTTGCGAATGTACTCTGTCAAGCTCCAGTTCGCGGCAAAGCTCTCGGCTGACACGGTTGTGAACAGCTCGCGCACTGACACGTATCCTACGTTGCCATTAGGACCTCCAGGCTGCACTGCCGCGCAACAGGCGCACACCAAGGCCACGCAGTGCTCCTCGCGCCTCTCCTGTCGGAGACGGCGTAGCGTGCGCCGATCCACACTCCAGCCCACTGCAGGCACGGATGCCTCCTCTCGGCAAACAAGGGCTCGCATGTACCGGCTCTTGGCCTGCCACCACTCCTGCCCTGGCTGGCCGGCACACAGGCTGTCCCAGTGGCACGCGGCCAAGTGAGCCCAGAGACACGTGTTCGCCTTGCCGCAGCAGGTGGTACTCAGGCGAGTCCAGTGTAAGTCTGGCACCACCCACGCTCCAGCGTGCCCCGAGGCCTCTTGACACGGCTGCATCTCGCTGCACCAAGCGCAGCCTGCAAACGCGCAATGCACGGCGGGGTAGACTATTCCTGAGGCAGGCGCGGACATGCTGGCACTCCAGGCCGGGAGCGGCGGCGGCAGCAGCGGCGTCGGCCGCAGCAGGGATGCCACTTGCTCGGCAAGGTGGACGTCTGTGTCTTCCAGGGTGGTCCACGTCTTGCTGGCTTCCACCGCCACCGGGCCAAGCTCTTCAGCTTCGTCGCTGGCATCCTGCGAGTCCCACGACTGCACACTATCGGTGTCCATCTCTATTTTGTCAGAGTTTTTGTCTGACAAGGGCACGTCCCTGTTGGTTTCTGGCTCGGACCAGACGTCCGCCTCCGCTTCAGGAATTGGAGCATGGATGCGCTCGGGCCGCCTTGGCACACAATCGGTTTCCATGTCTATTTTGTCAGAGTTTTTGTCTGACAAGACCACGTCACTGTTGGTTTCTGGCTCGGACCAGACGTCCGCTCTCCGTTTATGGAATTGGAGTACGATGCGCTTTCGGGCTGCCTCGCGAGACAAGCCTAGCACTTTACAATGGTTTTCACTGCTGCTCTCGGCCCACCGCCTCACCCGTGTCCAGCAAAACGGCTGGCGCGGAGACACGGCATCGGTCCCATAAGATCATGCGCCCCACGTTGCCGATCCCTTTGCGCAGTACAAGCACGGTCGGGAGCCGAGCCATCGCCGTCCGGCATCTTCGTCCGTGACACGAGTCTGAGTTCGTGCCCAGTAGTTCGCGTCAGGGACGCCGCTCCATACTATAGCATCGAAGTCGAACTGCTGGGTGAGCGCCCACACTTCTGCGCTGGTCCCATGATGGAAGGAGTCCAGACCGTTAGGCTGCTCCACCACAGCCAGCACCTTACTCCACAGCACCAGCTTGGCGTCTGGAACCTGTGCCTCCACGCCACCGCGCCGTCGAACGAAGTCCGGTGTCGCCCAAATCTGGCCTCCGTTTCTGGCACGCAAGTTGCTTCAGTTGCTGCGGCACTGGTCCAGCCAGCGCCGTCTACGCCACCAGCGCCTGCAGCGACTCCGCTGCACACAAGACACCGAGCGCGGCTTCCAGCACCTTCCTCCGCGCCTTGGCCCTGTACCTTGCTACCGTATTGGTTGAGTGCACTGTTACCCAGGAAATCGCTACGACCACCCCCTGGTTTCAGTTTCCAGCCCCACTCTGTCATGCGCTACAAATCACTTACCGCGCGCCCTACGGGTAACTGTCACCGCCCAGGTTCTTGTCTGCCCTGCGCACCTTCTTCTTCATGGCCAGATCGTGCGTGATGCCGGACTAGCGTGGCGTCAGCTCTGTTGGCGTGTTTCGGGCGCGGCCCCAGCTGTCTAACAGTTTGGACAAGTCTGAGCTGCGAGCTGCAATTGCTGCGAGAGAAGCACCGCAAGTCGGCCCTGCCTTTGTGAGTAATAATGCGCAACATGTGACATTCCCAAGGTGTTTTCATATTCTTTTTTTCGTGTCTTACAGTGAAAGAGTCGCGCCACGTTCAGGTGAAACCAGACTATTGAAACAACCCTCAACGACAGGTTTGTTTGCGGCGCTCCTCGCGCCAAGCCAAGGGCTTGTTACTGAAGTGGACCTTGCTTCCTACTGTTGCTTTTTTTGTCCCTTGTAAATAGCCTGCAAGGCTTTGCGACAAAAAAAAAGTTCCGCAGCTAGTGCGACGAATCTGTTGTGTGATTGCTGCTAGTCCGACGTGGCTGTTGCGTGACACATGTTGCTGCTTGAGCGACTAACGTTTTCAGAAGCTGCTGTGTGACACATGTTGCTGCTGATGCGACGAATGTTTTTGAAAGCTGCTGCGCGAGAAATGTTGCTGCTTCTGCGGCGAACGTCATCAAGAGCTGCCGCGTGAAACATGTTGCTGCAAGCACGATGAACATTATTGGTGGCTGCTATGTGAAACATGCTGCTGCTTGTGCAACGAACATTTTCAGGCGCTCCCTTGGCTTCACTCGGCCTCCCTTAAAACTGCCAAACTGCGCTTGCAAAATGCCTTGCGACGCTGTGCAGCGCGCGGTCAACTGATGCGGGGTGATCAATCTGCTTGTGCTGTCTGGCGTCCCTTAGCTTCACTCGGCTTCCCTTACAACTGCCAAACTGCTCTTGCAACATGCATGGCGACACTGCTGGCAGCTTGTGGAAGCGGGTGGAACACTGTTGGAGAATGGATGCATAATAATGTATGGAAGGGATGGTACTAGTGGAAAGTGGATGGAAGATGAATGGGCAATTGTGGATGATTGATGGCAACAAAAAAACAAAGTACACTACAGGAGGGGGCTCAAGTAACAGGAAAGGCAAGGACGTGCAGGGACTGGAAGTGCAGGAGCGGGCCTGACGGGCTGGCCCCCGCCCTCCTTCCACTTCTTTTTCGACTTGGAAGCACCCTGCGGGCAACTTTCCGGTAGATGACGAGTAGCGACTGAAGGGCAGTGAAACAGAGGACAGACTTCAAATGCAGGAAAATGAAGTGACAGGTCGGGAAACCTCCAACGGAAGCAACTGCGGCCTTTTCGGCTCTGACACCATGCGCACTCCCTGGCTGGCGCGACCATCGCCTTTTCTCCACGGCTGAAGCGGTATATGACTGAGAAGCGCCCTGTGGGCAACTTGCCGCCTCCTCCCGTTCGAGCGCGTTTGCAGTCGCGACTCCTGC